GGCTGGGGAATTCTGGGAGTTGAAGTCCATGCATCTTAAAATAGCCAAGTTTGGGAAACACTGCCCTAGAGTCAGGAACGGCTAGCACATATGTGCGACGGGAACTTTTACCTTTACTTTATGAGGAAGAGGAAGAAGGAGAAGAAGATACCCACACAAATGAGGAGAAGGCTGTGATTCTCTGTTTGAGAGTATCAAGTTTGGGGAGCACTTTTCCATAACTCCATCTATGATGATTTTATCACTCTTGCCCCAGAGGAATCATACACAACCTGGCTGCTTTTTTTTTTAACAGAACTGGTTACTCACCAATCCAAGTTGGTAGGTAAATGACAACAAGCTGCTATCATCTTCCTGCTCACTTGCTTTCCTTCCTCTGGGAAGGAATGGTCACTGCTCCTAGTCTAAACTCACTGGGGAATGGAGTCAGGACTTGCCTGTGCCCACTCGGTCTCAATGCTGGATAAGAAGGAAGAATTGCTTGTTACCAAGGATAGAGACCTCTACCAGGCTGCTATGCAAGGCAACATTATTTCTTATGGAAGGACAATAGATTTTCTAATGCATGAAGGATGAAAATGCTATTCAGAGAAATTATCCAACAGGCTTAAGGCACCTGACTGAACAATTTTATAACTCACTGTTATACCCCATATCCTGAGTGTGATATTTTCCTGAGTAATTTTTTAGAGAACGGTTCGGGCACTCAACCTATGCAGCCTAGCGTTTACCCAAAGAAGCAATAACCTTTTCTCTTGCTTTTGAGAAGAAAACCCCATAATTTCCCAGAATTCTGAGAGTTTTCTACTCCAACCCCCCCCCCAAATATATTTACTAATCAGGAAGAAATCTTCAATCTGCAATACTCAGAATGTGTCTGATCAAATTATAGATGTATTTTATGAAAGGATTTCCTCCTTCTCACGCGCATGACACAATTCGGTTTTAATAGAGTGATTTGAAACTTAAGAAAATGCAGGTTTCTTTTGGAAACTATAATTTTTGTGACTCCCTGATTAGTTTCTTTCAACAGGATTGGTCCCTGTCGAACAAGACGTTTCTTCTCTCACAAGCTGTAACAATGAGCCCTATTAAATCATCAAAATCTTTCCAGATTTTATAGAACAGCACTTGACAGTATGAAATGAATGATTACAATATAATTCTAAGAAATTTCATTGTGTCATAAGGTTGCAGTCTACCAGAAGTAATATCACGTCACTCTGCAAATTATAATGAGAATTAAATGGAGGCTTAACTCTTGCTAATTAACCTATGTCCTTATCTTATAATTATGTTAGCTTTCAATGGGTTAATATATTTGGGTTGACTGATTTGAGATGAAATTTGAAGCCAATTCAAATCATATATGAGAGAAAAGATATTAATTCCTTACTAACAAAGACTTTCAAAGATGCTTACTCCAAAATACAGGTATCAGTCACAAATTCAAAAAGATTTTAAACATAATATATATTTTATTATTAAAAACCATTCATGCCTTGAATAATTATCTATTCATGAAAGAAGAGATAATATTTTGAGCAACGACAATCGGTATTATTCTTACATTTTAAAACAGAATAATCTCTTCGTGAACCACAAACGTTTTCACTGTTCTTTACAGTAAAATACTAATGCAGTGATTAAATAAAAGAGAATATTTGTAGTTCAGGGTTGACATGAGGGGTTTCATTTCATTACCCAAACTAGGTAACATCATCAGTGCTAGTGCTGAAAGTCTGCAAGAAAACAACTAAGCTCTGACGGCACCAAGGGCAGTGATTAAAACAAGGCACAGGGTCATTCAACTCCTTTCACATGCTAACCTGATTCCTTTCTGTTTTCATGTACCCCTGTTTTATGCTTGAATTGCTCTTGGGTTACTCTTCTAATTTCTTAGCTGAAGAGGTGTATCATAGCATAAACTGCTATGTAGGTGTATCAATGCAGCCGCGTGGGTCGTGATGGGTGGTTCCCGATACGCCCATGTTACACCTCTCCTGCGTGACTTGCATTGGTTGCCGGTTGCCCTCAGGGTGAGATTCAAGGAGCTGGTGATGACCTATAAAGCCCTATATGGTTTAGGTCCAGGATATTTGTCGGACCATCTGCAACCAGCAACAGCTCCCCATCGCCCGGTGCATTCTCACAGGGAGGGCCTACTCAGGGTGCCGTTGGCTAGACAGTGTCGACTGGCGACCCCTAGAGGCAGAGCTTTCTCTGTGAGTGCTCCCACCCTCTGGAACCAACTTCCTCTGGGGCTCCGGTTGGCTCCTGACCTCTGCACCTTCCGCCGCGACTTAAAGACATGGCTGTTCAGCCTGGACTGTAGGGGTTGACATGTATTTTAACACACTTTTATTCAGACATTTTATTGTTGTGAGCCACCCTGAGTCCTATGGAGATAGGGCGGCATATAAATCAAATCAAATAAATAAAAATAAATAAATAAACGGGAGCATTCGGGACCTTTTGAGTTTTTTGTACAGCTTTTCTTCCAAATGTTTCATGATTTTTTTTGGTCTTTCAACTTTCTTTTTCTCAAGTTTTTTTTTTTAATTTGTACTAAGGAAAGCCCATTTTAAGCATTATATTACCAGTCATCAAAGGAATATGAGTATCAGAAAAGTGGGAAACATTCCAGGAACATTGGAAGATAGAAATGTGGAGATAACTAGGCATGTAAGGCTAATATTTCTTCAAAAGAGTTGAGAGTAGGAGTTAACAGGGAAACGTCTGAGTATTTTGGCTGAGAACGAGCTGTCTCCATACACTTCAGTTATTCATGCGCTGCTGTTTTTTCCCAAGTATGAGAGAAAGAAGTACATTTGCCTTCACAGAAGAACACTGAACAAAAACAACAGAAAGTTAAGTTTTAAAGTCATTTGGAACAATCTTGTTGTTATTTTCATGCCATGGTTTTACTAGAATAATGTATGTTTGTTATTATACATAAACGTTTGTTATTGTATATACCAAGCCAGTTGCTATAATTGTTCAACATGTGCTGTCTTTCTGATTTATGAAGTTGCGGGGTTTAAAAGGACCTGAGACAGATCTACTGCTTAGATCTCAGCTGTATGTTAGGCTCCTCCATTAATTGGCAGTGTTAAGACATCATTTGATAAAATAGTGCCAATAGTCAGAAAAACTACTGTTGTCAAGGATAATATTGCCATGTTGCAGTACCTCCTTCAAAGACAATCATTACACGAAGGCCCATCTCTTGGGGATGCTGTAATATTTGGCTGTTGCAGTGGTCAAGGAGGTAGACTAGATCCTTTCTTAGGTTCCTTTCCCTTACGTTATATGGTTCCATATAATGCCATTATATCTCCAACCTCCTTTTTTATGTGAAAAGATGTGCAGTGTGCTTATGTCAGTCTCATGTTCTTACAGTAAGTTGACACAAAGGGACAAAAAGGAAGGACAGTTTGTACCTTTTATACCATACATTTGAGTCTCTGAGTAGAAATTCAGCTATAAACATGTTTCTCCAAAATTATTTCAATGAAACTTGTGTCCAGGAATGTGTAGAATCATGTACTTAATTTCTTTAACAATGCATCTCTCTTTAAATTAGTTGGGATTACTAAATTCCTTTTTATTCTGATGGAAATGACTAACATTTCTCATTTTGGCCAAGCTGAGTTATTAGATATCCAAGAATGATATATAACCATAAGAAATTAGCACATTACTTTCATATTTTGACCGTGAGTAAAAGATGGTAGGAATGAAGGAGAAAGTTTTTAGTACAAAATATCTATCTGCTATTTTAAAAATATTAATCCCATCTTCATTTGAACTGGATCTAAGCAACATACTATTGGTGTGTCTTCCCTGCAAATTGAGCATTTGGGGTCATGAAATGTTTGATCAAGAAATGGAAACTTCTATTGGAATCCTATGTAAGGTCAGATAGTAGACTAGGCAGATTTTGCGGAATCTAAGAGAGTTATTCTTATTCAGATAGTCCTCAACATCTGTCCACAATTGAGATCAGAACTTCAGTCATTAAGTAATGCAATTGTTAAGTGAGTCATCATGTAACCGTGAATGATTTTATGACCATTTTTGCCATGATTGATAAGCAACTCACCGGGACATTAAGTGAATTGATTTCCCACAACAATTTTGTTAGTGGCAATCACATTTCCCTGGAATGCGGCAACCACCATAAATGCATGCTGGCTGCAAGCACCCAAACCATGATCATGTGATGATGCCAGTGACACAGTGACAGTTATATGGTCTGGTAAGACTGGCCATAAGTCACTTTTTTCAGCACCATCGTCACGTAGAAGAGTTGCTAAGTGAATGGTCATAAGTCTAGGACTCCTTTGGATGGTATAGCCAACACCCCCCTCTGGTCATGGTACCTAAAGCTTAATCATGATGGTGTCGTCTAAATGTATTGATTTTGGCCAGAACATTCAAGAAATGACTTCCTATGCTTCCTGTTTAGTCATTCGGGAAATGGGACTCTCTTCAAGCTATTGGTTATATTAGTCAGTGTGAAAAAGCTGGAGGAGCACATAGCCAAATGCACCATTAGGAAGTAAGAATAATGGCGATGATAAAAGTGCAAATTTTTGCTACTTATGGATGAAGGGGGAAATGGTTCCAATAATCTTGTCTGCATTATGTTCTCAGTACACAGTTCCTTTCAGATGTAAATAAATTGAGGTGAACTCAGCTTCTGGGGACACCCTAATGTTTGTGGTTGGCATCAATTCATCCCTCCCAGAGTTGACAGTTCCTTGTAATGAATGATCATACTTCATTAGCTTGGTGAATTCTTACTCCCAACCACAATGAGACTTTCATGTGTTGACTTGTAGTGCCAACCAGCTCACTAATGTTGGGATCTTGTTGTTTGCTGAGTTTAGTTTTCTTCTTACAAACATTTCATTACCAAAGTAGGTTACTAAGTTCCCAGTATTTTCACCCTGAGCTATTCTTCATTGTTGAACTCACTATTGTTCATTTTACAGGCCTGGCTCGGAGACCAGACGTCACAATGGCAGAGAGCGAATGACTAGCACCAATGAAAGGGGAAACCTGTCTATGGAGTCTACCAAGGAGACCCGCTATTGTGCTGTTTGCAACGATTATGCCTCTGGCTATCATTATGGGGTTTGGTCCTGCGAGGGCTGCAAAGCCTTTTTTAAAAGGAGCATACAAGGTAATATAACATCGACACACCTGGCATGAAACTATCTTGCTCAATGCCCATTCTAACCAAGTAATGAGAGTGTTGTTTATAGATTGAAACTGGATTGGTATATGTGTTCTGACCAAGGCTTCCTGAGACAGTAACAATCACACGCTTAGTCCCCAAACCCCTCTTTTTATTTCAACGGCTGTGAATTATGTTCATTCACAGCCTGTAATGAGTCCCAAGCAGTTTGTGAATAGTCCGATAGAAGTCTGCCACAGAATTTTGGGATAAGGCTGATAAGCACCCTCCTTTATCTCCCTTGAAACGCTGCCAAAGACCTAATTGCCAATTAGCTTTGTAAGCCAAACGGAGCACAAAATCAAAACGGAACTTCAGAGTTTAAACCGACCAGAATGAACAAAGTTGCTTCCTGCAAAGGCTCATGTCCCTTTGCTCCACCTTTATTTTTTATGGGAGGGGCCAATCATTTCCAAGCCTTACTCCCAAGTCGCCCCTTTTGTCTTAACTGTTCTTGCCTTCTGGCAGCTCTGCACATGTACGCACTGGGAACAGGCTCCCCCTGTTCCTCTGCCTCGCTGATGTCAGACTCTGGAGGCTCCAGAGTCAGTACATAACTCCCAGAAGGCCCTGGTCCCATCTCTGCCTCCGATGCAGAGCCCTTGTCCGAGCCTTTCCCAGACTCCAGGACTGGCCCATGTTCCTCCCCAACCTCCTCACTGTCTGACTCTGCTGCCAGCTCTGCAGGCCACTGGTGGACCACAACAATATGGCTCATAAAATTAAACTTTTAGAATAAAGAAATAAACAAAATAAATAGAAAATACCATATTAAAAAATGCATATTTAGTCCCTGTTTAACATATACAGTGTGAATAGATTGAAGTGTGTCAGTAGTGAGTTGCAAAACCCATCGCTACTGGTTCGCTCGTGCATGCGCAGAAGTGTCTGTGTGGGTGGGCGGACCCTCCCGCCATCGCCACTACCGGTTTGCCAATCCAGGTAGAACTGGTAGCAACCCACCACTGAAGCATGAGTTGGAAATTAAAAAAAAGACTATTCTGGACTATTATCTGTATTGAAGTATTTTGTAAATAACCCATCGAATCCAGGGGTGGGTTCTAATTTTTTTTACTATCGGATCTATGGGTGTGGCTTATTTTATGGGTATGGCTTGGTGGGGGGTGTAATGTGACTGGGTGGGCGTGGCCAACTTTTTTTTTTTTAACTTTTAAAAGCATTTTTTCTATAACCTTAAGAGGTTGCAGAAAAAAATGCTTTCAGGAGCCTCTGACGATCAGGCAACTCAGCTGGGATCGCCAGAGGCTTTTAAAGGCATTTTTCCCCCTACAACCTCTTTGGCCGAAGAGGTTGCAGAAAAAAATGCTTTCAGGAGCCTCTCACGATCAAGTAACTCAGGGGGGATCACCAGAGGCTTTGAAAGGCATTTTTTTCCCTGCAATCTCTTCGGCCGAAAAAGCAGAAAAAATGCTTTCAGCTGACGATCCCAGCTGAGCCTCATGATCATCAGAGCCTTTTTTTTTTACTTTTAAAAACATTTTTTCGGCCAAAGAGGTTGTAGAAAAAATGCTTTTAAAAGTTAAAAAAAAAAGCCTCTGATGAGGTGGGCGGGGTAAGCAAGCGGCGACCGGACCGGGGACCAGTTCGGGAGTGTGACCAGCCAATGTTATTACCGATTCTCCAAACTACTACAAATTTTTACTACCGGTTCTTGTGAACTGGTGCGAACCGGGAGCAACCCACCACTGATCTAATTCCAAATACCCATTTTGCTTGTTTCTTCAATACTTGCCTGCCCTATCTTTGTGTAATGCTGCAATTTCAGTTCATATAACAATAATAGATAAAATAAATACAGGACTCTTTAAAGAAGCTTTCCACGAGATGATTGTCAATGTATGTATGGTATAGGTTCTCCTGCTTGAGCAGGGGGTTAGACTAGAAGACCTTCAAGGTCCCTTCCAGCTCTATGCTGATTGATTGAGTCTCCTAAAATGTGAGACACCAACAAATCCCAACTCCAATTCAAAATTGGGAAAGGCTTCCAGGAAGTCTCCAAACTAGCAATAGCAATAGCACTTAGACTTATATACTGCTTCATGGTGCTTTTACAGCCCTCTCTAAGTAGTTGACAGAGTCAGCATATTGCCCCCAACAATCTGGGTCCCCATTTTACCCATCTCGGAAGGATGGAAGGCTGAGTCAACCTTAGTTGAATCTTAGTTCTAATGGTAGAGAGGCAGATGTTTAAAAGTACTAGATTCTTATGCTGAAATACATGTAGTCCTCAACTTACAACAGTTCATTTAGTGACCAAAGTTACAACGGCATTGGAAAAAGTGACTTATGACCATTTTGACAAGTACAATATATGTTGTACCTTGCTCAATAGTAATAACTGTGAGAGGGATCTTGGAGTCGTAGTGGGCAATCACTTAAATATGAGCCAGCAGTGTGCAGCAGCTGCCCAAAAAGCCAACACAATTCTAGGCTGCATAAACAGAGGGATAGAATCAAGATCACGTGAAGTGTTAATACCACTTTATAATGCCTTGATAAGGCCACACTTGGAATACTGCATCCAATTTTGGTTGCCATGATGTAAAAAAGATGTTGAGTCTCTAGAAAGAGTGCAGAGAAGAGCAACAAAGATGATTAGGAGACTCGAGGATAAAACATATAAAGAATGGTTGCTGGAACTAGATATGTCTAGTCTTATGAAAAGAAGGACTAGGGGTGACATGATAGCAGTGTTCTGATATCTCAGGGGTTTCCACAAAGAAGAGGGAGTCAAGCTATTCTCCAAAGCACCTGAGGGTATGAAAAGAAGCAATGGGTGGAAACTAATCAAGAGAGAAGCAACTTAGAACTAAGAAGAAATTTCCTGTCAGTTAGAACAGTTTATCAGTGGAACAACTTGCCTCCAGAAATTGTAAATGCTCCAACACTGGAGGTTTTTAAGAAGAGATTAGATTACCATTTGTCTGAAGTGGTGTAGGTTTTTCTGCCTAAGCAGGGGGTTGGATTAAGGTCCTTTCCAACTCTGTTATTCTATTCTATTCTATTCTATTCTATTCTATTCTATTCTATTCTATTCTATTCTATTCTATTCTATTCTATTCTATTCTATTCTATTTATTAAGCCTCTAAAATGGCTTCAGCCAGGCTCACTTCAGGGTTGACACTTATGACCATTGTAGCATCCTCATGGTCACATGATCCAAAGTCAGACATTTGGAAATTGTCTCCTTTTTATGAGTGTCTGGGGTCATGTGATCACCTTTTGCAACCTTCTGACAAGCAAAGTCAAGGCGTAATCCAGATTCACTTAACAAACATGATGCTAATTTAACAGCTGCAGTGATTCTTAACAACTATGGCATGAAAGGTCATAAAATGGGGCAAAATTCACTTAACTGTCTCGATTAGCAACCAAAATGTTGGGCTCTGTTGTGTTGGTAAGTCAAGGTCTATATGTATTACCAGCTTGATGGTGGGTTGCCATTTATTTCCTCTTTCTTGGCCTTGTCTAAACATCCTGGGCAGACTTTCAGTATGAATGGAAACTGAAAGTCTTAAAGCCTTTAAGGCAGAAACAAAGAACATACATCAGAGGTGGGTTTCAGCAGGTTCTGACCAGTTCTGGAGAACCGGTAGCAGAAATTTTGAGTAGTTCGGATAACCAGTAAATACTACCTCTGACTGGCCCCGCCCCTTCTATTCTCTGCCTCCCGAATCCCAGCTGATTGGGAGGAAATGGGGATTTTGCTGTATTCTTCCCCTGGAGTAGGATGGGAATGGAGATTTTACAGCATCCTTCCCCTGCCACACCCACCAAGCCACACCCACCAAGCCATGCCATGTCCACCAAACCACACCCACAGAACCGGTAGTAAAAAATTTGAAACCCACCACTGACATATATGGAAGAAAAAGTAAATACATGAAAGAATAAAAATATGCATTTCTCTTCCTCTTGGCTCCTCTTACTAGCCCAACTGTCGTTTCTTGATTTGGGGATGAAATTTTTGCCAAACCACACTCAGTCCTGCCTTTCTGTGATAAATTACTTTAGGTTCCTACTTAACGTTCCATTGCTCAGTACTCAGTCCTTTTGCCTTTCTCGGGAGAAATTTCCTGCAGTTGAATCTATTACTGTTCATTGTCTTCTTAAAGTGATGTTTCTCATGTAATGAACTGTAATCTGGTTACAGACATGTTCTTTTTTTAAAAAAATGTACACCCCTTATGCTGTAATCCCCCGTCATCCCCCCGCCACAATAATTTCACTGCTGCTTTAAGATTTTCTGTTTCATCCAAAAGCTTTTCTCAATTGCCACTAAGGGGTGCCATGTGTATTCTTAATATAGTTTCATGTCAGTACATGTTGCTCTTTATTGATTTTCTGTATCAACATGTAGAGAGTGATCTTGAGATAGGAGAATGTATGACAAGTGAAAATTGCAATCCTGTTTATGTGCGACATTTATTTTATACATATTTTACCCCTTCCCTCACAAATGTTGAGGTTCCTGGACTAAATATTTGTGAATTCAGTGGACCCTGCAATATCTTATCCTACCTCAGTAATAAACTCAGCAATAATGGTCAAGTTCATAGGGTTGAGAAGCACATGTTGAAAATCTGGAACATGAGAAAAATAAAAACGTTTAAAGGATTGTGCACATTCTGAAAATGATTTAGAAGGAAAGTTTTGGCGCTCACATGAGTACAGCACTTTTCTGCCACTCGTTAAAGCACTGATGTCTTTTTTTCAGGCATCCACATGAGCTGAGCTGTTTGCATTACAGCACAACAATGTTGTAATGAATCCAACTTTTAAAACAGCAGCATCTTTTTTGCAGACTCTTCTAAAAGCCTGACAAAAGTTAGGTGTACAGAGCAGAGGGATTGTGACATATGAAAAAAATGAAGCAGTTCTTCTGAATGGTTTTTCAATGTACATCTATTATATTCCTTAATAG